ATGGTAACGGCTTACTAGAAAAATTCTGGTTTTCAAAATTATAATTCTTATTAACACACATTTATTTAAGACTACAAAATTGAAAACAAATTAACTAAATAAATGTTTTTATGCCATTCTCTGATGTATGATGATAAAATTACCAAATTTAATAGTATATTGTAAAGCAATATTTAACCCATTACCAATTTTATTAATTATTAAAATTCATGTTAATCATTACCAAAGCGCCTCAGTAAAAATTAGAGAGCATATAATAGGCAACAGAAGAATTAACAACTACTATCCACTCTCTTTTGTTTAAAACTTGAACCCACTAATTTTACTTCGGTACTCGAGCAAATTCTCCTTTAATCGGGGCTTGAAATTACAATGATTTTAAATGAAGGAAGAAAAAAATTATTTTCAAGGTTGTTACGTAATTAAAAAAAGAAAAGTTTATAATTTCATTTTTAGTATTAATAAGTAAAATTAGATTTTTGTTGAAATAAAAGAGATGCTAAATTGTAATTTAGTTAAAGTCAAATTCTAAAAGATATTTTTTTCTCCGTTTATTCAATTAGCATCGCCTTTGAATCATTAAGGTTTTTCTCTCATTAAGATTATGCATCAAAGAAACATTTATTCGTAATTCATTATTAAAAAAAACATGGTCAAATAAATACATTTGTTATGTTTTCTGTTAACATTAAAAAAAAGATATAAATATTTCTTTAGAGTCAGACTATTAACATTTTTAATTATTCTGCTTATTGAAAAACGTAATTAATTAATGTAAGCTTTGAGAAAAATTATATATTTAAAATACATCTTTCACGGTTTCAAAATGCTAAAAAAAGTTATTTTTTTACGAAATAATGTTCGTAAAATATAAAGATTTGAACTTGTTTAAAATCTTAACACAATTTATGATTTTTATAAAAGGTAAAACTTATTGAATTTTTTGTAATTTCAGAATATATACAATAGCTTAAAATAATAGAAAAATTCTGGCTAAAAATTATATTTTTCTGTTAAAGTTATTTCTGAGAAGAAATTTAAACGAGAATTCTTGTAATCAATACAAAAATTTAAGGTATTCCATTTATTCATTTTATAATTTTTCTGTTCGAATTAACGGCATATTAAAATTTATATAATTTTCAATATTATTATTACTTACACTATAGTAAACATATAATAGTTTTAATAACTCACACAATTAGTAAGCACTTGACACCAAAATTTATATTTCACAGAAAAAATATTTTTCACATCATACCCTAAAGAATCATGAAGCAAAAAAGTAAACTAGATTATTTTTCAGAATGAATTTACTTTACAGTTTATTTAAGAATTTTAAGACTTTTAGCAATCTTTTATCAAGTTGAAAGGTAACATGCAATATTTATTTCTTATCTTAATATGTTTATCAATTATAACAGAGAAAAAAGATGCAAAAATGGTTTTTTGGGTGTTAAATTGAAGTGTTTTATCGATACTCAACTCTAAAAGATCAAGCTACGATGTCCATTTTTTGCATTTTATTAATGGGTTAGGCAATTTATTTCTTTACTCTCTAAAAATGCTGTCACGTGTTCTCAATACAAAAAATGGTTTATAAACACTTATTAATTTGTCCCTGTGCAGTCATTTTCAAGTTTGTGCTATCTGTTCTTCAATTTGCCAAGGGCTTACTACTTTATTTATATTAAATAGTTATGTATTTTTGAAGGTCGAAGGGAGAATCATAATACTTTTTTCTATGAAATCAATACTTTACTAATACAGCACACCGAAGTTATTCTGTATCAGTAAACTATTAATTTCATGGAAATAAATTGAGTGTTTCCCTTTTATTAAATATTGATTAAAGAGAGAGGGATAGAAAGAGTTTTAATTTAGTAAAGTCTTGCATAGGGCAGAAAGATTAGTTAGAATAATACCGAAGTAGTATTGTATGCTTGAATTTGAAGAGGGATATTTAGTGAATATATTCATCAAATGGAATAAAAGATTTACCAAATGTGTCCAGTAATCTCATTCAACAAAGCATTACCTTTGTTAGACAAATGCATTACAAATAATGATGGCTTGAGAACCATTCGAAATTCTAAAGAGGTCTAGCTCTTTATTATTAAGTTCTATCCATGCCTTGATTTCTGACTAGTCTTAGTTCCACTATTTTGGCACTCTACTTTTCTGAGGTGCATTAACTTATTCTGTAACTTGCGAATAATGAATGGTAGATATTTTAAGAGATGAGGTTATTAGCGCATTTTCATAATATTAATTCTAAATATTTTTAGCGGAAATTTAATTTTAGAAGTAATTTCAGTCTTACTCTTTTAACTAAGTTCTTTGCTAGGCTTAGTGCTAGCTCTATTTTGTGCTTTTATACGCATTCTAAATCTGAAATTACTGGAGAGATATATCACATTGTTCAATTTCTTTAACTTTAGTTATTTTTATTATTTTTTTTCTTATGGAAGAAATGTGAATTCTGAGTACAGATATCTCAGAAGTTTGCAAACCTATATTAATGCAATTTGATATAGTTTCACTGTAAGAAATGTCACGCATTATTTCCAGCAAAGTTATGATTTTTCAGACATTTTCATCAGATTACAGTGGAAAATAAGTTTTATTTTTGTGAAATGTTTCCAGGATTCATTGTTTTTTTATGCTTTGCACAGTGGCGTACATAGACTTACTAGGGACGACCCCTGAAACATTTATGAATGTGCCCAATCTTAAACTTAACTAAAATTTTTTAAAAATTTAAATATGAAACAAAAACACTCTGACGAGGCATTCGGGTATTTATAATCATTCCTTTTATTTCAGTTTATTTATTTTAATTTAAATTATTTTAATATTCATTAATAACAATAATTGGGATGCAAAAGTGCGGAATTGGATATTATATTCACTTACCGATATACCGCATTGAAATAAAATTTATCTCAATAATACGAGAAAATAACTCACTATCTCACAGTAATTATATTCAGAATTTAGTTGTTAAAAGCGATGAACTAGATCATTTAATTTTCTGAAATTTGAAAACGATAACCAGTTACAAAACTATGGGCGAACTAGTTGCGCCTTCGTTATTGTTGCATTTTTTAAGTGATCTAGATAGGCCACTGATGTTTTTCTGTTTTTGATTTGTTCTTGAGTATGATGTTTATTATTTAGAAGAACTGTTATGTTTAAGATTAATTAAAAAGTTGTTAATTTTTTAACTTTAGTATTGGCAGTATTTTCAAACAGCTTGTTAAAACTTGCTTGTTATGATTCGAAACTATTTTTTATAAGTTTGAAAAAAAAGTAGTCCGAGCCAATTTTAAATTCTTTTATTAACAATTTTACAGAATTTTTTTTTGCAGCACCAATTTGCATAAATGAATAATTTAAAACTTTTTTTTAACTTGTCTTCACAAAACATATACTACATATATAATTTTTTTACCGGGTTACAGACATTTATGAAATAATTTTGATGCTACAAACAACTTGTGTAAACTACGTGATCAACGATATATTACATGATTGATGAAAACATAATATTGTAGTTAAACGTAAGAAGAAATATACATGTCCTACTCAAAATATTTACAAAAACAGCAGTTTCAGCACCACTTGAATCTGCACATTTGGATAAAAGGCAGAAACATGCTATCTAATGGCTAAAAAGCAGATGACGAAATCACAACAAACGTCTGCTTATACCAAACTATATTTCCTTAACTAATACAGATTATCTGAGAAATGAAAAGAACTGTAAACGATTTGATGAACAGCAAAAATAGAATATTTAAAATAAATCAGCAATAAGCCAATAAGATATTCCTTTAAATTTACTTTTATACAAGGAGATAAACAGACGCCTTACTTCTTCAAACAGGAATTGGTATTGAAATAAATGTAAGACTTAATACTCGTTATGATTTAAGGTATGCTTAAAAAATAGATCATTTCATTCTCATAAAATAATATCATTAATTTAAATATCGAAGTTATTTAGAAAATTAAGATAAATATACACTGTCAAATTACGTTCTTTAAATAATTACATTTAATTTTCATTTCTTTTCTAAACAAATGCAAAGGAAAGCGCTTCAAAATTATTTTGCATATGAAAGTAAAATTAAAAGAAACAATATGCATGATTTGATTCTCTCATAGTAATAGGATGCTCGCAATCGAGAAGAAGACCACTGATTTACAGCCACCTGACCTATAGCCTCAGGGCCAGCTGGTTGTTTATAAACAAGATGGCGCGTTAAAGTTAAAGCTGTTAGGTTTGCTTTATTGTCGGCTTCCTTTTATTAATAATGATAAATTAATAGCTCATTTCTTTTGTTTCGAAAATAATTCATGACATATTTCAAAAATTTATAAGAATTCTTTAGTTACGAGATTATCGCGTGAGATGATAATCGATTACGAGATAACAAATTGGATTCATATTTGTCTGGTTAAGGTAACTCGAAATAGAATAGAAAGAGCATTTGCTAACATAAACAAATGCCGCATTTCAACAGTCTATCAGGATTGATACCCACGATTACGTACCTTTTAGGCAAACATCTATCCCATGAATTAGCGTTTTTGTTGCTCATTTCTATCCACCGCAAATTCCTTATACATCTGTACCATAAGTACTTAAGCACTATTAATACTGACATCATCACGACGCTTTACTAAAAGTTTCATCTAGCCCAACTGCGCCCTCTAGAACCACTTACAAGAAACGGTTAGATGATACAGTAGGTTTGAATAGTTAACACTCTATTGTTTTCAATATAGTGTTTTTGCCATATTTTTGTTAATTTCTGTATGATTACAGTTTTAGTATGGAATAAATAATAATTAGTTGTGATTCATAGTTTTAAAGTTAAGTTTGCATAATTCATTTAGATAAATTAATGAATTAAGATTAGATTGCGCTGATATATGTTAGTGTTTTGAAAAATTTTCTCATTGGGCATTTGTGTAGAAACAAAATATTCTGATCAATTCCATTTTTTTAAATCTTAGATTTTAGTTCAATTGTTCGTAAAAACTATATCAGTCATATTTTTTATTTATTCTTGTTTATTGCAATGTGTCATATGATAATTTCGAATCTAAACTGAGAAAAATGTTACATAAATAATGCTTGCCCTCATTCATTCTTTCATTAGTTGAAAAGGATCAATTGTGCATGTCATGCATAGAAGCATGACGGTGGGAATTCTGCAATATTTCTTATGCAGTGAGAAACGATAAAACTTAATGAACTTTTTTGAAAACAAATACATTATATACAATGACATCAAAGTCGAAAGACTGATGAGACAAATCTTTTTTTTTTTTCACGACTTTTTTTCTTGTATGAATGCATCTTGTAAGAATTCAAAACATTTTTTTCTTCAAACATCTGTTATATTCATTCCGTTTACGCCACTCCTGAAAAATAGAGAATAGTAACATCGTCAAAAGCTTAATTATAATAATAAAAAAATAAATCACTGGAGCAAATAAAGTATTATAAACTAATAGTTAATTAAATTTCAAAAAAAATTCTAAGAATTTCTGTAAATAAAAAGTCGATATCTTAAGGACGCAGCTCAACCGAGAACGTATAAATGCAGTCTGTAAATATAATTTCAAAGACTTATATAAAAGTGCACAGAATAATTTCTGTTTGTATTCTGTATAATTAATGACATGCATTATGAAGTATTAATTATATTACGTGATACATTATAATGACGTAAAGCTTTTTTTCGGGTTTTACGCTATTCCATGCACCATATTCTATATAATTTATGTATAATCTCAATTTTCTTATTTAAAATTCTTTACTCTCTGTTAAAATTGCTGTCTGCTTGAAGTGTAGAACAATCTATATCATTTTATATTTAAAGTCTTCTTGGAGGTAACAGGTGGTAATAATTAAATCTCTGATGTAGTATTCATAGCACCTACCATAAGCTCTTTAAGAGCTTAAGAGCTTAATGACACCTACCTTAAAAAAAGGTGTGTGTTAGAGCTTCATAACACCTACCATAAGCTCTTAAGAGCTTAAATTATAGCTTGATTTTTGTCTCTAAATAGAATGCATTTTCGACCACTTTATGACCAACTAAAATCGGCACATTTCAAATGGAGGTTTGTTCGGATGCCAATTGTTTTATGAATGAGGAAAGCAAAAGTTATTGTCATTTAAGATATTGGTTGCTTTTTGTGACTTCTAAGACATAATCGATACAAACTAAAAATAAAAAAATGATAAAATGAAAATTTTAAAAGACACGTTTTTAAAGCAGATAAAAAATTATTCTATTTTTGTCAAAGCTGCAACGAAAAACGTTGGTTGAATCACTTTCGTCATAAGCATCTAGTATCATCAAAGTCTTCCACTTGTTTTGAAATAAATCTGACATTCATTTTAAGTTTGACAAAATTAGAATTTATAAATTTTTCAGATTACAAACTTTTTCAGTCCACTCAAAAACGCTTTTTCAAAACTTTTAATTTTTTTACGTGATGCAATGTTTGGTTCTTGCCTTATGTTGAAGCGGGTACTTATGAAATAATTCTCTTCATATTACAGCCATACGGAGCGATTTTATTTAAAAAAAATATTAAAAAACTTTTTAAATATCTCCGAAATGTAGTAATATGTTGCTCAATAATATATAGCTCAATAATATATTACAGTTATTAAAGGAGAACATTGTTATAACTTTTAATATATCTGATTCTTCTTTAACCATGAAGAATCCAGTGATGAGGTTTGTTTGTATATATATTTTTTTGTAATTTTGTACAATGTTTTCGATCACTTTCTGTCATTTCTTTATATTTTAAATTCTGGTTTTCAAATAGCCCACTTTAAATGACCTTTTTTTTCCTATTTGAATTCTATGACGCCAAAAAGTACGCTTATGAGAGTAATGAAGATCTAAAGATTTAAGTTTTCATTGAAATTTTAATGTCCTTTTTCAATCTTGCGAAAAGTGATTAGTATTGCTTTAGTGCTATTGGATTAAACTTTTCTGCTCTTTTATTAATACTCAATGATCTCAAGTCTTCTGTAATACGAAAAATTTCATTTAACAGCAAAGTATCTTAAAAAATGTCAAGTTTAAACAAAATTTCTACATTTATGAAAACTTTCATTTTGAATGGAAAGGAAAGTGAGAAATTAAATTCGTAAAACGCTCTGAAATAGATGAAACTAAAATAGTAGAAAAAGAAAGATTTCTTCATTTAATACATTTCTTTTTCTGAGGTTGGAAAAGTTTTTCTCAAAAATTTATCTACAAGAACATTATAACAATCCCAATTATTTTGAATAAATTCTGTTTATCAATTTTTTTATACATGCTCGCATGTTATAATTTTCATTTTTTTTTACTTTAACACTTAATATCATAGTCGTATTATTTTATTATTAGCAAAGTATCTTTTCAGCGGGTTTATTTTTTGCATTAAGGAAACATGTTCCTCACGATCCAGAGAAGTCTACATCCTTAAATTCTTTATCTTTATTTCTTAGTTTTATTGTATTTGATTTAGTTTGTAGCATCATTTGCGTTTCGTGCAATAAAATGAATTTTGGTACTTTTAAATGAATCTAAATTTCTGTTATCTTCACTGTGAAAAATGGATACACAAAGATCACGTTTGTTTTTGACGTAACTGTTTCCTAGTATATGCTCCGAGAAAATTTTTCATCAAAATGACGAAATAATTATTGCTACTTCTTCGGGGAAACGAATTTCGTCAAAATTAAAGAACTATTTAGTGATTCGTTTTTTTACAAAAGAAGAAAAAATTATGGAGCTTAAAGTATCAAATTTTTTTAATTTATTCAGTTTTTCGTGGGCATTATTATAAGTTGATCAATTCCGCTCTAACAGCACGCGAAGGAGAGATTACACTTATGCTTGAAGCGGAATTTGATCCCGGGATCTTCCTGGTACGATGTCAACTCCTTGACCACCAGTCGGTTGACTTTGCTACTTAATTCTTGAATGTCTAGTCTTCATTTTAGTTTACAATCTCCCACAATGCACTATGATGATGTTTCGAGTTGCGTAAACATTTTCGTCATACATTCAAGAGTACGCATTTCTTCACAAATCACGTGATTTCGGACAAAATTAATCCCAAAATTAAATTAATCTAACGGACAAAATTAATCTCAAAATGAACGAAATGTGTCTCAAGAATTGCTGAATCGTCACCAGTTCAACATCGTAAAGAGTTAAATCAATATAGGTTCTTATTATGTTCATAGTTTAGATCTCTCATGTCGCTTATTGGAAGGAATCATTAAAAACGACCTCAAATTTTTATTTAAAAAAACCCACCTTGATTATTCCCATGTTAACTGTCTCTTATAACAATGAGTGCCAAAGGGAATTCCTTACTAAGCGTTACCAAGAGTCATTTTTATTTATGACAGTGTCAGGCGAATAATGGAAAATAGTTGGCCGCAGGTAGTAAAAAAAGGAAAAAAAACCTCCTTGAGGCAAGTCTAACTAAGTGGTTGTCGAACATCTATATGTAAATAATATCGGACATAAAAACTGAAGTATCGGTTGATTTTCAACTTTATTGAAGCCAAAGTGATAAAAACAATAATTCAAGCAGAACAATTTCTACGCCATAAAGTACTTCGCAGAAGTATTTAAACGTCGCGAAGCTTTTTGAACGTATCTTTTTCGGAGAAACAGCGCATTTGCTACCCTTATGTTGATAGGCTGTTGGTTTCTTTATGAGGTCGTGAAACAACGAATTGAGGTGTTTTTTTATGAAAAGTAAATTTAGAAATAGCTATAAAATTCGTTTTTGAACAGAAATATTTTTATTTTTGTCTCTAATAATTCATACTGACCAATTCTATTATTTGGTTTTAGTGCAGATATTAAAAAAGAAATGATATTTTACACAATAAATTTATGGATCATAAAAATAGTTTGTGTAGAATAATAGTTACAATATACTCAGACCCATATCTAAAAATTCCAGTCTTACTTTTCCAGTTAACTGAAAGAGATTAGAGTTTGCATTTTTTTCAAAATACAGAGTAGCCCCACAATTCATGTATGTATTAATTACGATATCAGCTAATATATAGAAACAAAATGTGATAGATATTATTTTGCAAATAATTATTGCAAAAAATAATTATTGCTAGAAACTTTTAACCCTTCTGAACTCGCTGTCGTGGTTCTTAACAGCATGGTCTGGCACTGTGATGATATGGCATTTCAATAATTATTCGAAAAAAAACCCATTTGTACTGCAATCTAAATTTTATAAATTTGAGTGAATCCTCAAAGATTTGAAAATTTTAAAGGCATTTCATTAGAAGCAATGAAGATATTTAAAAAAACAATTTAAGTAAATAAATAAAAACTAAATCTTTGGTTCTTCGTCTTGAAAATAATCAATCAAGAAAAAAATTACATAATTTGTAATAAGCAAGAACCAAATTAAACTATGGTAAATTGATTCAACAAGCCTTAAACTGAATTCGACTACAAAAATAATATTGACTTTTTTACAAATATGATCCCTATAATATAAACCAATGTTGTCATCCTGTTCAACAAATATGATAGTTCTTTGAATGTAATATATGTTAAGTTGAAAAATTAGAGAAAATGTACATGTAGTGTAATTTTAAATCATTGATGTCCTTGAACCAACGTTAACTGGAATTTTAAGTCTTAAAACATTTCCTAAATCTTAAAAAAATAAATACAATAAAATGAATATAATGAAATAAATATAATAAATGAAATAAATGAAATAAACTAAATGAAAGTAATAAAATAAATATAACTATAACTACAAAAGTAGATGCAGCCACATAATCGTTTTACCCATGTTGGACAACCTTCATCTCCTTAACTGCCACAGCAGCATTTTTTCTTAAATTAGGCACTTACAACAGGAGAAGAAGTGCCTAACCATGCCTAACCATGTGATTTAAATCAGTTTAAATCGGATATCTGAAAATGACGTCACGCGTGAGCGTTGAACCTGATTGGCTTCTGAATCGACAAATGATACGATTTGCATACGATGATATCACTTGTAGGAATCCAATAGACTACTCATGGTCCTATCCTGCAAATTTTTTTTTTGCAAAAGATTTTTACTTTCAAGTTTAGTTTATTTATTCAATATTAAAATGTATAAGAGTGCTAATTTTTTTTTAGTTTAAGGATGTTCCTTTATTGATTTAAACATAGTAAATTAAAGATAAATATAAAGAATATTTTTACTTATAATTGAGAAACACTTGAATTTCAAAGAATAATTAGCCTTAGTTACCCTTTAAAAAATGTAAGATATAATAAAATGTGATTTTGGAAAGTATTGCATTTTCATTAAATTATTAATTCCTAAAAATATTTGCAAAATTATAATTTAGTGAATGAAGACCTTATTAAAATTTTTTCCAGACAATTTAAGGAACGATTCAGGGCATGATACGATTTAGGACACATTAAAAAAACTATTATGCAGGACATCTTATAGAATGCGTATGATTCAGGACACTTTAAGGAGCACGTATGATAGATAAATAATGTAAAAAATTCCGGATCAAGTTACGGTTCGGAGAAACTCAGGGTGCTGAAATCGATAATCTTATAATATATATATTTCAGAACTTATCTAATAATCGATATTTCAGGCTGCCGAAATCGATTTTATTACGTACAAGGGTACTTTTAACGTAAAATTTTACGGAAAAAATTCTGATACGTAGTAATTTTAACAGTAATGTTTACTGTAAAATTCTTGAATCACAGAATTAAATAATGATAACTGTAAACTTTAACGGAAAAAAAAGGATTGCGACATAAAATGAATTTTGCGGATGATACATCCAGAATGCTAGAACTTTTTATCGTAATTTAATCCAGAATTTTTTACAGTGCAGGACACTTTTATAGAACACGTATTATTCAAGCAATCTTAACGAACATGCTTTATAAGGATAGTGCTCCTAAATAATCTAAATCATGTTCTCAATATTAGCAAACGTTGATTGACTTTTTTATTTATACGAGTATAATGCTCCTGTTTTGCAGCTCAATGCAAAGAAAACACAAAGAAATCTAATGCGAAGGGAAAATATCTACAACTACAGACGGACTATAAGTAAGAGTATAAGTGCAGACGTTATAAAAATGGTTTATCCAAGTAGACTAAATGGTAATAAGTTTTGCATGAATACGAGTACACTGTTTGACAAAGGCGTTATACTAAAACATTTTAAATTTAAACATTATTTTCTCAAATCTGCTACAAAAAAGTGCATTAACGTAAAAAATATTATTAATTTAAGAAAATACTTGAAAAAATAACATTTAGTATGAAGTGTTTTGATTATATATCAAATTACAAGTATTCAACTAAAAAAATAGAGAAGAGGTTTAATGTCAAGCATTTCTTCTGAGTAGCTCATTTTTTTGTTGTTTATCGAGCCTATTTTTAAAATTAAAAGAGTCGCGAGTCTCAGAAGAAAAAAACAGCAATTCTTTGACGAAATTAAGAGCACTAATTCAAATATTATTAACTTTCTCTTTCAATATTTTGCCTTTATGAATATTAAAGTTAAATTTTTTTCAAAGTTCCTCCGAAAGGATTCTTTTTTTCATGGACATAATTTTGATTAAGACGTTTTACTTAAGTATTATTTGACAATGAAGAAGCATAGTCGATTGCTTACTTACTGGAACAAGATACATATTTCATTCATAATTTAAAGAAAGGTGAACCAGAATACATTTTTGAACCCTTTTTAAAAAAGCATGCATTACTTTCATTTTTTTATACTATTACACAGTGCAAAATAATATACGAAAATACACACTACTATCTTCAATAAGCCATTTTCAAATAAATGAATAAAATATACTTGTTAAAGTTTATGTTTTTAATCTTTAATTTAACCGTAAAAATAATACTTCAATATTTAGTTTCTTTATTTTAATTTTAATGAAAATATCCGCAATTTGTCTTCAGTATCTTTTGATTTTAGTGTTGAAAAATTAAAATAATTCAAAAATTAAAAATTAATATTTTTCTTTTATTATATTTTTTAATATAACTATAAAAAAAAACAACATAAACGCGTTCTTCAAATTTATAAGAAATGAATTTACGATAATTCTTACAATTAAATTACATGCAAATATTTTTAATATGTTTTGAAATTAATCGTTTAAATTGGAGGAAAAAAGATATTTAAATGAGAATTTGAAGCTTACTCACCTCTTGGAGTTTGAAATGATGGAAAAAGGAACTCTAGTCTTATCTCACACTCGAATTGAGAATAAGAAAATTTAAAGACGTAATTTTCTACTAAATGAAAGATAATTAATTGCATTGTTTTTTTAACGTATTCAATAAAACGTGATGATTTTTAAAATTATTTCATTAATAGTTACCTTTCGAAACATTTTCCTTTTGTGTTATAAAATTTAATTACTATTTATAGTTTCTACGTTGTGGACACCAAATGTTGTTGCAGATTTAATTTTTAAATAATTTAAAATACATGATCTTACTTTCGAGTGCTTCCATATTTTCTGAGGGCTCCTTTATCATATTGTCGCATTTCCCTCATTAAGTGCACTGATCTGGGACTGGGACCAGGCCGTATCGTTGCAGTTTCTGGGACAACAGAAGTGTCGCAGTTAGAGACGTACGTGCTGTTCTGGGACGTGCGACATTTCCACGTGTAGCGGTGATTTGGATTGCGACGCAGGGCGGCACGCACGTACGCTTTGCGAAGCACTGTTTGAACCTTCAATAGAAATATGAATTATTAAAAATGAGTTATGAATTGGATCCGACGTTATGAATACTTCATGAATAGGAATTTCGGCTTTATGTAATTTAAAGAATTTTTAGTGCAACACTAAACCTAGAAAGAAAAAAATTGCTATGTATAAAGAGATAATTGAGTTTCATACTTTTGCTAAAACAGCTTTCCTTTTCTTAATGCGTCACGACTGTTTTCCTAAGTTTAGTTTTTTTTATTCTAAGTCTTGTCGGTTTTTTTCTAGTTTAATTAGTTTTTATTTAGTTTTTTTTTCAAATCTATGTAATTATCTGTCTCTCTAAAATTAGTATTTTAAAATATGTGTTCATATAAAATAATAATAATTTTGCATTTTATTAAAAAAAAAATTTTTCTTTGCATTTTTAAAAAATATCAACTTAAAAAGCAATGATGGATGAGAAGCATTTAAGGATTGGTGAACAGAGATTCCTAAAATTTTAAAATAAAACTATGATTTAAATATTTTAAGAAAAATGTGGATTTGATGATGCGCAGCTTTATGTCAAGACATTTGAATTTAGAACCGAAATTTCAGATTTTAAATAATGTAAAAACGTCTGGTCTAAACATAAATTTGAACGCACTGGGATTTGAAACACAGGGAAGGGGGAATTCTAAATTTTTGTTGTGCATTTTGTTTTAAAAAATAATAAAAAATCGACATTTTTCTAATAAAAATATTAATATTTTATTTTTAATTACAAAATTAATTTTACTTTTTCGAAGTTTATATTTTGACAAAATTGTTCACAAATTTAGCACAAAATTGTTCGCAATAAAACTAAAATTTTAAAAAGTTCACGAACATAAATTTTCATTTCTTAAGAACTTGTCTAAGATAAAATGCACTTTTTTTCTAACCTCCTCCATAATTCTATTTTTTTCGTGCTTACCAAAGTCAGTAAGCAAGCCTTGTCTTGAGTGTATAGTGTATATATTATAACAATTTCATTTTGGAGCAGTGGTTATGTTAAATATGAGTTTATGACAATTAATTTATTTTCTCGTCAGCAAGACTTTTAAAGTATATTTAAAGTAATATCCATAAACATTTCTACTTTTGAATACGCATATAAAATGTATATACCTACCAAAATGCTGAAAATGATAGAAACTTTCTAAAGATTGTATTAAAAGTAAAAGAAAATGATAAAAGCATTGTCTACAGTTTAGAATAGCGATGCCCAAGTCAGAGGCAGAACTGCATCCTTGAACGGAATCAATCAATCAATTGTCGCAATTTTGTGGTTGTGAATGGCAACTAGCTGTTTGCACTATCCCTATTGGATGATATGCATTCTCATCCTAATAAACCCGTGTTCTTATTGGTTGCTATCGAACTGATTGATCATTGATGCCAGTGGCCAGGTAAGTGAAGTAACTTCATTTTAAATATTTTTATACAGAAAAAAAAGATGTTGAAAGAAATTGCAATTGAGCAGTATCAATCAGCCTAAAGGAAACAGGATACCTACTTCTTATTGGCTGATTCAGTTTTAAATTTTTGGTTACTTTACAGCCATTTTTGCAGATTTCATTTTGTTCGATGGATGGAACTACTAATGTATACTAATTCAGTTTTAAATTTAATTTACTTTGCACTTCAATTGTGAACTGCTCTCAATCAGCAATATTCTGTCTTTTTCACTGAAGATGATCCAATGCAGTTATCAAAATATTTTACTCAATTTTTCTTTTATTTAAAAAAAAAACTGAAATGTGTAGATTTGGAAATTTTTATGTTGACTTTTAATTTTATCAACTTACCTCAATGTTCATGAAGCAATAGAGAATGGAAACAAATATTCCCTAAAACAAAATTGAAGCAATTTTAATGAAAATTGTAAATAAGTACTAAAAATATTCCAAAACATTTTATGTTAAATAATAGTGAGTTCACCACTTGAAATCAATGAAACCAAATATCAATATGGAAAATATGAAATTTCATTTCTTGAAAAGTGGTTGAATTTGTTTAAACTGAATTAAAATTTTGTCTGGTGTACAAGAATGACAGATAATGGAAAAGTAAAATTATTAAAATTTATTATTTTTGTTTTGTAATAGTATAAGTCAATTTTAATTCAAGAGAATACAGAAAAAAAGGAATATTTACTTGCGAAGATTGTAATGAAGCGTTAGTAATCATGTAAGCTTCTTCCAGCTTGCTTTCGTCTCTTGGATTTACACAAAACAACAGGTGCGTAATACCAAGTAAAGGGAACAGCAACGCTGTAGCTTTCATTGCACGTCTAGAATTTAAATAAGAAGCACTGTAATAAGGAATTAATATGCATTTCTATTTTAATTATACTTAAATAATATAAGAATTGTTAAAACCATGCTAAAAGTTTGAAGTTTAAGTCTTATTGAAGAAACAATGGATTCAATATTTTTTCATGGTTAATGCCTTCAAATGCAATTTTACGATCGAAAAATATATTTTTTTCAGAACATAGAAATTTAAATTCCATGTCAAAAAACTTTCTAACTATTCTCGTCTGCAATTCGGATAAAAATAAATGACACATTAGAGCTTTTTTTCTTGAAGAAAAATATTACTGTCTATGCTTGGTGATAGTGCGATTATTTCGAAATGTCCAGGTCTCTACTTGTCCAATTTAATATACTTGCAATGTGACTGACCTTTAAATTCAAAATTCTGTTTTTCACATTAATTGGTTTTCTTATTACCTTTTTTTCATCTAAATAGGTAAACATTTTGATTAAGTTTTGTGAGTCGTCTCAATCATTTCCTTATGTTATGTTGAAGAAGATAAGCGGTGATGTGCATCTGAGCCTTGCGACTGCGGATGGGATAAGGGGGCAGGGAGGGAGTAAGAAAAAGGGAGAAACTGAGCTATTATTACTAGAAACTGAGCTATTATTACAATAATTTACTAGACAAGTAAATTATTGTTAGTGAAGTATTTTTAATTGTATTTTTAATTCCAAGCTGATAGGACTAATGATTTTAAGGTTTTATTATATAACGTTCAGTGTTGTACTTATTTCTATTTGACATTCCTGTGAGGGAATATTTCGTATGCATTTTTTTCTCTGTGTCAAATAAAATGCTTCATTCGTCGACATAAAAGTGCCAGACGTGTGAATAATCACAAAACTGTACTTTATTTAAACAAAAACTTTATACCCTTAAATTGTTAGTTCTAGCAACTTTGTTTGGTCTCATTCAATTCAGTATATGAATATACATTAAAGACAATACCTCACTTGTCTAGATAAATAAATCAGATACGTAAAAATGTATAAGTCAAGGATTTTATAACCGTTGTTGACCAACCGACCAAATTTTAGAGTTTACGACCACTAATGTTCAATTACGTAGTCTTGTAATTTTGAACCCAATCAAGAAGACAAGAAATTCCTGGATTAAGTGTTGGGAGAAATTTAGCCTTCATGGAGGACTTTTTGATGAAACTTTCTCGCATTTTGCTTTCTCGCATACATGGAAATGAAGACCACTAGAACCTCCCAGGGTTAGCCTGACAGCAAAGGGACTCAAATCCATGATCCGCCTACCACTGAGGATATTTCAAGCCAGCATTGTGGGTTGTGCAAGCCGGATGTAGAATTCGTATCGAACAGCCATTGCTGGGTTTCGAGCCCGGGTCACTTTATCCCCTGAACCCTCACGGCTCGAGTCAAAGTTTTTGTGACATTTTTTTCAAATATCTAATAAAAAGTAAAACTATTAATCCTATTGTCTAGAAGTTGATTTGTTTATTTTTGAGCAACGCAACATAATAGCAACAATAGCCATTGATCTAGATAGTAAGGCTGAAGTTTCTACCCTTCTTCAACCACTTCCCAGATATAGGTACCGAAAATGTCCAACTTTGTTTTTTTTTCTCTTCGATGCATAATCTAAGAATGAGACAGCTTACAATGTTTTACACTAAAAATGCACACGGTAATTGCATAACCTACTATACATAAAGAAGGTTTTCATTTAAATAAGTTGTTTCAATTGTTTAAAGAATTTAGGAAATTAAAAGTGAACAAACTGCAAGAAGTGATAAAAATAAATTTATAGTGTGATCATTTATAAATGCTTCTCTAAATAATAATTTCTGCTAAATAAAAACTTTAGTACTTTGATAAGCAAAATGGGTTTACGTTGTATTTTATGTACTATTGTATTTTTTCTAATATTACTATAGCTGTAACTAATTAATGATTTCAATTTAAAATTTTTAATTTTGATTAAATTCTATTTGAATTTTAAATATTTCGAAAACTTGAACTAAGCTTGGATTTTAGTTGAGCAATCTGATTAAATTATGTTAAAGGTTGAGGGTAATTAAAGCGTTGAAGGTTCAAAATGAACAAATATTAACTAATTCAACTCTTACCTGATCTGTACGATTTCGAAAGTTGAACTGGTTTTCATCTTTGTAACTAATATTCTGATGATGTTCACCAAGAAAATCAAATTGATCTGAAATAGTTTAACTGTTTTAGAACATGAACATGATAATTAATGAACATGATGTAAACAGATACGATTGACAATTTTAAGAATTTATTATAAATTCAAACATCTTTCTATCAAGTGCATAATAGTCTGAAAAAATTACAGAACTGAATGCTTGTTAAGGTTTGAATCTAATTGTGGTCAAAATTTCTATTTCAGTGCGTGTGATCTTAGACTCTTGATGAAAAATTAAAAATTTACCATTGTCTATCAAAAAACATAACTTCGAGGAAGAACAATAAAAATATTATTTTTTGCTTTTTCCATTGCATTACCAATGGAAAAAAGTATATTATATTGCGTAGTGGGGCGGAATGGGGGTGTAACGCCCAAAACAATTAAATACGTCAGCAGCGATTTGGATGGCGAGCGTTGATTTGCGGAGAAATTGTGCAAACAATTGGCAGGGACAATAATGGTCTTTTGTTCGACGAGGCAGAGTCCCAGACATTCTTGAATTGAATGTAGCAATCCAAAGTATACGTGGTTAAGTTCCCTCTTCCTCGCTTTTGCCTCGGATTATATTTATACTACATCGTATATATTTTATTATTCGTTGTCAACTTTTTAACAATTACTTTTGTTAATTTATTTAACAATCGATAATTATATCGTTTGACAGTTAAAATAATTTAATTGACAATTTTTTACAAAAATTTTGATAAAATTTAATTTTTTATTACGTAAAAATGTTCTTTGTTTTTCTTAAAATTTAAAATAGGACCAATTTCCCAGCATTTGACGCGCAAACACATCAGTGCTTAATTTTAACTCCGCATCCTGAGGGGGATTTTTTTAATTAAATTCTTCGCTGGTCTGACTAATTTCATAAGAAAAAAAATCTGGTAAAATTTCCGTATTGGCATTTCTGGCAACAAAAAAAGGACATAATTTCGGTTAAACATAACCAAAATATACGGTAGTAAAATCCTTCGTTTGGTAATTTTTCCTTTCATATTCAAGTGGTTTACCGGAAATTATGGTTTTCAAAATTATAGTTTTCATTACCCTATGTCTAGTAAAACCTACAAAACTGAAAAGAATATTTAACCGAATAAACTGTTTTTTCGCCATTCTCTAAGGTATCAAGATAATATTACCAAATTTTACTACATTTACCAAATTTTATCGCATATCATAAAGCCATATACTAGTTGCAGTTTTAACTGTGCAAAATAAAATGTTACGCAAAGTTGAACTCCCAAAACAGCGGTGTGATTGCGTATGATTTATTGAGAGGTAATGTGAAAAAAGTTCTATGTCTTATCACCAAAGAACGATAACATTTTATAATTAAATGTAAAAATCCTATTCCTTATTAAAGTGAATTTTACTTTTTGACAAAGATATAGTTTTAAAGTGATATAGTTTATAGATAAAAATTTTAAATAAATTTGTAGTTATATATTTTAAATAAACTCGAAATATTTTAAATAAATTGATAGTTACGTGTTATTCGAAATCATTAAATTTACTTCTTGGGGTATCGTAATAAGATATCACAAAAAGAAGGTTTTTTCCAGATACAAGTAAAACATTCAATCAACTTCATTAATTTGTAAATTTTTCTTAAGAAAGTCCTGGATAGAAGAAGAATACCAAATTTGGTTTTAAAAAAAGGTTTTTCTTTTTAACAAAGAAAATTTAAAATGTAAGTGCAACAAGCTTAAGTTTCAAAGAATAGTCCCGATAGTTTTGCCCGAAGAAGTAGTTTTGATCCCCATATCTCAATCGATGTTTTAAGAGAATCAAAAAAACATTTTTTTAACACATTTGTCAAAATTATTCATTCATTAACTATATCGTAAAAATTTTTTTTAAATAATTATTTACAATTTCTTATTACTTAATTTAATAATAACCGAAAACTTTTTGATTGGAAGGTATGCAAAATTTTACTGAATTTAAAACTGTAGTTTCAATGCTTAGAATACAGAATTTCAACGGAATCTGAGTAATAAAGTTACCAGTAAGTCATACTTTTAAGAATTAATTTCTAAGCAATTATTCAACAGATTATGTCAAATTTAGGATTTTTTAAATTTAAAATTACGTAATTTAAAATAATGAAAAGCTGTTCATACCGTACAATTCAAAATGTTTCAACGATATAAATGATAAATAAGTTTAAAAGATTATTTTTTCATATAATTAAATGAACTTTATGAAAGTTTGCAAAACTAATTTTATTCTTTTAACCTTTCACAGCAGATGGAACGCGGATGATTCTTTTATATATATTTCCTGGAGCTTTAATTACAAGCAAAATAATATTTAAGTATTTTTTAATTGTAAAAAACAGTCTAATAGTTACAAAAAATATGTTAGAGTATTGGAATTATATTTTTAAGAAAATATAAAATCCAAAAAATAAAGTTTGCATTCAAAAATAAATACTATGAATGTAAAAGATTTCAACAATAAATATCTGTTTTTCTTCGATATTTATTATATGTCGTGTTTGGAAAATTTATCTTAAACGCCGAAAAATATACTGGCGCCTTATATGTTATATTTCATAACCATAAATTTCAAAAATGCTGAAAATAATATTTTACGCTTTTTTGATCTAAATTAATACAATTTAATGAAAAACGTGAGAAAAATATGTTTAATAAAAATTCTGCATCAAAGGGTTAAATAGTGCAGAATCTGGTGAAAGAGGATAAAAATCAAATTGAAGTTAAGCTGTTTACAGCTGTCTTGAAAAAACTATTAAGGCCATAATTAGATCTCTTACCTTTGTTTTTGATTTTTACCTAGAAAAAGTAAATGCTATCCATTTAGGTTTATGTTTGATATTGTAATTTAAAAGATGAACCACACAAAGTTAATAACATAGTTAAGGTTATACTTTTGAAAGATTCAAATTACTTTTCAGTACGCAAAAATCCAGATACTAGTTCAAAAGTAATGAAGGTGATCTGTTTTTTTATTAATATTTTTATTTTGGTCACTATTCATAAAAGTTAACACATTCTAAAACATTTGACTATTTCGGAAATTTTTTAAAGGCGTATTTCCGTAAAGTATAAAAATTTATTGTAATAGTTTATTGAACTTTACTTTACATGTTTAATGACTTGATTTACTTCAGAAGACAGAAAATTAAAATCCTAATTGTATTTGATTAAACGCTTCCTTCAACTAATAATTGTTTTTTTTATGTGCCCGGCAGACATATAAGTATGAATATCGAATTTTATGAATTCATTAATAAGTAAATTAATTAATATAACAAAAACTTTTTATTTCTAAAAACCCTTGAAGGAAGTCAAATAAGTATTGTCATAAAGTAAGCTTTCGAATATAATCAGTATGAAAAAATTGTTTAGATTACAAAATAAGCTACTTTTTTCTAATTTCCATTTATTAATATTTCTTCATTGTATCTCAAATTGTTTTATGTAGAAAATAAGAACTTAGATATTCACGTAATCTATTTTTTAATCTGACAATTGCAAATATATTATTCTTATGTCATTTTCTTGTCTTTAACTAATTAATTCCATAAAATAAAGTTCGGCTTTGATGATATTTTTATCATTAATAATAATAATACAAAAGTAGATAATAGTAAAATATGTTGTAGAATATATTAATAGTAGAATATATTGGGGAATTGCATGAAATTTAGCGGTGTTTTAAAACCTTTTTTTAACTATCTATATATTAAGTTTCAATTGTAATATTTTGATTACTTATACACTGAGAAAATGGTCAAAAACACTGAGAAAATGGTCAAAACTGAAACCTCGGTAATTTTTACCGAAGCGCTTTAGTAATGATCTTGGTAAAATTAACAGCAAAATATAGGGTTATGTTAAGTGATAAAATTTTGAAAATGTCGTAAAATTTGGTAATTTTATCATGATGCTTTATAGCTTGGCATGAAAAAAGCATTTTTTCAGTAAAATTTATTATTCACTATAAGTGTTTTTTACTGAATGTGTAGTAATAAGAATTATAATTTTGAGAACCAAAATTTTCGGCAAGCCGTTATCATACAAAAGGACAAAAATATCAAACGGAGAAGTTTAAAAACCGTATATTTTGGTTTTATGACCAAAAATATGCTTTTTTTAAAATTCTTTTTAAATTTTTTTTTTTTTACAGGAAATGTTATTATTATACAGTATGGTAATTTTACCAGAATTTCTTTCTCCGTGGAATTAAGTAAGGTATCAATAAAGGAAGATGGATCAAGATTTAAATAAAATAAATTTTGTCATTAACAATACATTGAATAAATTATGAAAAGGGCATTTATAAAAAATTCTCACTAAGATTTTCAATTCAAAATAAAATAATCCAATTTAAGAATATGGAATTATGTTTCTCCGATTCTCAACGTTAGGAATGAAACCATAATTCAGCATATTTTAGCTTTCACGAAAAGCTTTATTGAATATATTTCAGTTAATACTTACTCCAAGAACAAATCCAAGTGCCTCTCCTTTGTAAAATTAACTGCTTCATATAAGGCCTGATTTTTAGACAATTACTGATAAAACAATTAAATTATTTTCTTCAAATGAAATAGTTCGAAAATAAATGGTGTAGTTTTTCTTTTGTTAGTAAATTCACAGCTTTAACGAACTTTGTTCAGAAAGTCAGAATTCCGCTGAAGAAGCTAGATTATTTAGATTTTCATAGCCAAGACAATTAGATAACAGCTGATCAAGGTATTAAAATATTTTTCATTTTTTTTTATTTTATGATCAGATTAATTTCTCGAGTTGTTTACAAGATCTTTTTTTAATATAATTAAAAATAATTGAAAATATTTGTAGGCATTTTTTGGAGTTTGAAATTTGAGATATTTTCACTAAATGATAATATAGAAACAACAGTGAATATCAAAACAATGGTTTGATATTTTTGTAGTTTTTCTCATAAAAAATGAAATTAGAGTTTATGATTTGTACGCTGTCTTTAGAAAATATTATATAAACATTAAAATTTTAAAAATGATTTGCTTGCTCTTCAGATCTTAAAAATTCGACTAAAATTACGATAGATATAGTGTTAAGAAATAAATTTGAATACAACTACCAATTCAGTATTTTTTATTCATTTGTACTTTCAATGCAACTATAAATGCAGAAATATTCGATTTCGTTTAAATATGACATGCAACAAGATTAAAATCATAATAGTTCAATCTTTAAGTATACTTCAAGCTTTCTTCCCTTTTGGTATAACAATAAAGACTAATTACAATATTAATTACAATATTAATTATAATTATATAATTAACTACAATTTAATTAATTGCAAATATGACAACTATGAGTGTGATTAAAACATTAATAATTTTTAGCCATCATATTCACAGTAGTCTACTGAATAAGTAAAAATGCCATGTAACTGATATGGCGACATTGATTCATTAAGTATTAATAAATTTAAATTGGTAGGGTAATAAATAACAATCATAAAAATAAATGTGTTAAGGAATTACACCGACTGTAATATACACTATCTGGAAGAAAGTGACGTGACAACTGTAAAGTTTGGTGGAGGAGGATTGATGGTATGGGCCTGTTTCTCCTGGTATGGGGCTGGCCCACTGGTGAAGGTTGATGATATGATGAATGCCGATGGATACTGTGATATTCTCGACAATCATGTCCTTCCTACCTTGTGGGCAACGTACGGTATGGATGATTGCTTGTAACAGGACGGCAACGCAAGATCCCATGTTGCAAGGAGGACTCTTGATTGGTATGTGAACAACAACGTTAAACGCATGGAGTGGCCGGCGCAGAGCCCTGATCTTAACCCAATTGAACATCTCTGGGACGAATTTGACCGTCGGTTGAGGGCCTGTACCCCACTCCCCAAAAGAAAGCATGAACTATGGAACTTCCTGTTGAACATTTGGAAGGAAATTCCTCTTGCCACTATGGTTAATTTAGTGGAAAGCATGCCCAGAAGGGTTGCAGCTGTGATCGCAGCCAAAGGAGGCCCTACCTCCTATTAATTTTAATAAATACGGGTTTATGTCGCTATAGTGTCGTGTCCAGTCACTTTCCTCCAAATAGTGTATATATTTTAAAATTATCGGTGACAGAAATAAAGTAAAAAAGAAAAATATGCAAACTAGGTGGCGCAAATTAATATTTAAGCGTAGAAGATATGAACAAGTTTCAAATTCCAACAAATTACTAATGAGTAAGGTGGAATTGGAAACATCAAGGCCTATTTACTTACTATATAAAACCTGAAAGCGTTCCTAATAATCGCCTTCCAACTCTTAGATGTAATCTCAGGGAATCACTTAAATTTCGATGTTTTAGTTTCAACTACTTCAGTGTTGATTCATTGAATTTCGATACTGATTTTTTTTCTTTGCATTAAAATCACTCTGCGACCACTAATATGTGTATACATTTTTACTTCCTTTTTGATAAGTTCCATATAAAGGGTGGTGATTACGTAACACCCTGCATAAACTCACCCCAAGTGCTCCAATCATAGGTCCCGTAATTATCCAAACATAGGAGGAGCGACCGTAGCCTTCCCAGCAATGCGAATTCATGCTCGCGTTCATCGTGAGACACCAACTCAGAATTAATACCAAAGGAATACCTAGTATTTAATGAAAAAAAATATTAATTAATAAACAAACTGTTCTCAGTATTTCTTAATTTTGCAATTTATATTTCATATTCATTAACCTTTATTCTAACACGAAAGATAATCGAAAAAAAATCATTTGTCATATACAATGATTCATAGAAACGAATATTAATTAGCAAACTGTTCTCGGTATTTTTTAATTTTACAATTTTAATTTTCACATTCATTGACCGTTATTCTAACACGGAAGATAATCGAAAAAGGTAATTTGTTACATGCAATGATTCAATGAAACGAATATTAATTAATAAGCAAACTGTTCTCATTATTTAATTTCTCAGTTTTAATTTTCACATTCATTAACAGTTATTCTAACGCGGAAGATAATCGAAAAAAGCGTTTGTCGCGTGCTATGAAATTTTCTTTCTTAAAAAAATTAATGCAGATACTGTTTTAAGAAAACAATCTGGTCTATAAAATTTACCCTGTCAGAAATCTTGGAGCGTGTTGAAGTACTTAATCGTGTAGATTTGCTGCAACTATACATTGTTGAGCTAAATACGGAGTATATTGCAGTACTTCTTAAACCTGATTGCAGTTAATATACAGGGTGTTAATAAAGTCCCGGACCCATTTTGATGCTTAATAACTCATAAAATAATAAAGATAGATTAAAATTAATAACATAAATGGTTAGATAGTCTCAAGTTTCATGACCCATGTCAATGTTCGACACGATCCTCCTGTAAACATTGTCCTTTATAAATCTCCAAAGAAAAAAATCCAGCGGCGTTATATCAGGTGATCTGGGTGGCCAAGAAATTGGCCGAATTTAGATTAGATTATGAACGACCGAGTCATTGGGCCTTTCCTTTTTACAGAAAAGACGGTCTCTTCAGTCGTATACTTAGACATGTTGGAAAACTTCGTATTTCCACATCTAGAAGAGCTTCAATCACATGTCTTTATACAACAAGATGATGCACCACCTCATTGGGGTATCATCGTTCGTAGTTCTTTGAATGACCATTTTCCAGGAAGATGGATTGGGCGGGGAGGTCCAATTCCTAGGCCACCCAGATCACCTGATATAACACCGTTGGACTTTTTTCTTTGGGGATTTATAAAGGACAATGTTTACAGGAGGATCGTGTCGAACATTGATGACCTAAAAACCTGAATTACAACCGCAATAGCCTCTGTGGATGACGACATTCTTGCTACTACTTGGCGTGAAATTGATTATCGACTTGATATTCTACGTGCGAAGGGGGCACACGTGGAAGTTCATTGACAAGGGTCATGAAACTTGTTGAGTCTATCTAACCATTTATGCTATTAATTTTAATTTATCTTTATTATTTTATGAGTTATTAAACATCGAAATGGGTCCGGGACTTTATAAACACCCTGTACGTTTTGTTACGATTCAAGTTACCAGTATAGTGATTAATGTGGGACTGATTTTTCAGAGAGTGCAGAGATATATAAGTTTGCTTAACAGGACTTTTTTTGAATTTATATTGTTCCGAAAAGATTTAATTACAAAATTAATTTGAATTACTACATAACTAAATTGGAATAGTTTTTAACCAAATATAATTTAAATGGCTAATATTTATATATTTTATATATGAGTATTCTATGCTAAAAATGTGTACAATATATAAACAGTAACGAGGTTGACGATTGGCATTTAAGTTATTTGTTGAACGGAGGAAATAAATGGATCAAAACTATAACAATATGGTAAAATTTACCGTGTATATAGCTTTATGGGAACACCAAAGAGAACTGTTTGGTAATGACTTTGGTAAAATTAACGGTAAAAATGGTTTTATTACCATTCCGTTTGGTATTGAATGTGATAACGTTTAATAATTTTATCATGATGCTTTAGAGCATGGCATGAAAATTATTTATTTGTTTAAATTTAATTTTCAGTTTTGTATGTTTACAAAATATGTGGCAAGCAACTACAATTCTGATAACCAGGATTTCCCTTAAACGGTTACGAACGGAAAAATTACTAAATGAATGGTGTAAATACCATTTATATTGGTGCTTATTACCAGAATTATGAATTTTTTTTACCAGAAATGTCATTACCAGACAGTACTTTAATTTTATCTGAATTTTTTCCACGTATGGCAAGCTTAATAACGATAATTAATGTCACTGTACTTTTGTAATGATAATTAATGTAATTTTTCACATGAAGTGTTTTACGAAGTTCCTTAAATTTTATTTGTTAAGTGTTTTTATCGAGAAAATTAATACTAATTTGTTTCAACGGATTGCAGCAAAAATAGGGATTTTCAAAAAAAATATATTCTAATTTTTTTAATCCTCCAAGGCATTGGTTAAATATATTTGGTTCATAAGTTCTTATTTTATTTAAATACATAGATTGGAATAAAATAAAATTCGTTATTATTACGATTTACATAAATTTCATAGAACTGAATTAGGCTTGCATGCTTGGAGCAATGTCTTGGAGGATTGAAAAAATTAGAATATATTTTTTTTGAAAATCCCTATTTTTGCTGCAATCCGTTGAAACAAATTAGTATTAATTTTCTCGATAAAAACACTTAACAAATAAAATTTAAGGAACTTCGTAAAACACTTCATGTTCCCAAGCATGCTTGGGAACTAAACACTGGGGGTTCCGCGTTCGGCTGACCACCTGACCGGAACATATGCTCCTGCACCCCAGAGCCCAAGGTCAAGAAAACTGAGATGGGCACAGTCGGCCTTGGCCCTCTTTGGGCTGTCGTGCCACTGAGTTTAGTTTTTTAGAATTAGGCTTAACAAATAAAATTCGAACGTATCACGACAAAACTGGTTATGTTTTAAAAATCCCATATTGTATAAAAATAGTTATAAAAATTCTTGCTCTTAAATAAAATAAGAAAATATATTCCAAACATGAATATAAACGCTTTAAAATGAGTTCTAACATAACGTATGACTTATGTAAGTATCATTTCATTAAAAATGTTATTTCAAATGTGAAATACTTAAAGAAAAGTACATTTTCATAATATGTGTTATAAATAAACAATTGTAAGGAATAAGATAGGCAATCATAAATATATTTGAATAAAGAAATTCAAAATCTTAAAATTTTACTTACCCCAACCTATGAAATAATATAACTTAAATGGAGCATCCTTCTGAAAAATATTAGTCGTTATTCTACTGTGTAAAAGCATCCCTTCCACAAACATCCAATTTATACTGGACAAAGCAGCGTACATTTTCACAGATACTACGATTTTACACAACCAGTCCTAAATAAATAAATATATGAAAATGAATAAAAAACTTTAAACATGTTTGAGAAAATATATATTTTTCCCTATAATGAACATACTTTATAATTTTTATGCTATACACGCAGTCTAACTCGCTAATAGCAAGAGTTAGGGGACTATTTGCTCGTTAAATCAGACTACTCGTTAGTCCCGAATCAAATAATATTATCAAATAAATAAATAAATAAATAAATGAATAAATAAATAGATAAATAGATAAATAAATAAATAAATAAATAAATAAAAAAATAAATAAATAAAAAAATAAATAAATAAATAAAGCAAATAAAAAGGACGCAATATTCTATAAAAATGACAGTTAAGTATAGAAACTACTCAACTTTTTGAACAGCAATATCCTCACTGCAATTGGGTATACTATAGCCTACGTCACAGATCGTGTTATTCCTACTAAATTTAACTAGTAAACAGCATTTTCTGCGAACCTGATTTCTAGCAACAAGTAAAAGCATCAAACGAAGTGTCTTGTTATAAGTCGCTACTCGCCAGGTTGGAATTGCATTAGTCTAGTTCCTTTGGAAAGAATTTATATTGTTATTTTACCGAAGTTTATGAATTTAGTAAGGATATTTAAATCTCAGTTTATTAATTAAACTAAAAGGTAAATGTTATTCCTAGTAAGTGGAAGTAGTTGTGCTTTTTTCATATTATACCCAATTGTTTGATTTAGAGGGAAACATATATCACTGTAAAAAAAATTGGTGCATAGTTGGCACGATTTTTGTTGTTGAGGTGAACTAAAAATTTTTTACAGTATATATTGTCATATTTGTTTATTTATATTTTCAGTTTCATAATTTCATTTATTCATTGTTTCTTTGGTTACTGCAAAGCATATTTTCATGTTCATTAGAATCAGTTTTAAAGGCTTCATTCCACAAATAAACCAAGTACATTTAAAGTAATATATTTGGACTAATTCTTTCAAACAATTATTGTCTTGTCAATGCTATGTAATTTTTTGCATAAAAACTATAGCTGTGTTTTTAAAATTGTATTTGAGCAATTTCATGGTGATTGACGTTGCCTTTTGTAAGGTTTTCTTATTCTTAATTTTTTTCAATGATAAATATCAAATATATTTTTTAAAAAATGCATCTAATATATATATATCGAATATATATCTATGGAATATGGAATTTTTCAATAGCTTAATATTATTATGCAAATAAGAAAACAATCAAATTTTAAATGTTTTATTTAGAATAAATATATTGTTGAAAAAATAACATCAACGTTACATATTAAAGACATGAATTTTTCTTTTGAAATTATCCATCCTCTATAAGTAATAATGTGATTGGTATTTATAAATTTATTTTAAAACTATTTTAAAAAATAACAAACTATTTTAAAAATTTAATAAGTTTTTTTTTATTAAAAAATACTTAGAAACTACAATTTATGATTTCATATCTAGAAAAGCTGTATATGGAGGGATGATATTAAATGTTTATTTTTTTGTTATGTTGTCTTTTTTTTTTAGTGTAATTGACCGTATACTTAACCTCAATACCAAAAATGGCGGCAGCTATGCACTAAATTTTTTTGCAGTGATAGAACTTATGTTTATCGTTTGGCAGAAATACATGTCAAGACATTTAGGCAAATTACGTGCAAAACACAGGGTTTGCTAGTAATAACAGGACATTTTATTTATTTAATTATTTTTTTAAATTTTACTTCTTATTTATTACTTAACCAACTGCTCATTTAAAGTGTCCACATTGAACTCATAATCTTGTTTACTCAAAACGCGTAATAATGGAGTATGTCTGTTGTAGCGAATTAAGCTATATTAAGAAACAGTTCTTTTTTTTTAATTTTCTTTTTATAAGAACACTCTTATTTAACGACCACACATAAACTAACAAAATTAAAGTACCTGTAATGGGTTAGTAATAACCTTGGAAAAAAAGTAGAAAAACCAGTAACAGGTTAATATAAACCTTGATTTCAGAAACGAAAACTATTCCCCTCAAAAATCAATAACTCTCTGATGTTCTATAAATTGTCTCGTATTGAGTATTGAGTATAGTAAAGTGCGGCGTGCTCTCTGCTTTCGCTTATAGCACTGCGTTTCAACAGGTAAGGCTTAATTTAGCCTATCAAGATTTATTTGAGCTCTGAGGCTCTTCTTCAAATGCAACATGCTACCACGGAATCCAACAGGGAACCAAAAATTGTCTCGTGCTTTTATTTTTAATTTATCTCGTTGTATGTTTTGTCTCTTTTAATCATGCTTTTGTGAGCCAGATACTTTTTAATATTTTTAGACTTTATAGTGTACTTAAATTTGTTTTGTTAAGGTGGTGCATAAATTATTTAATAGGTATTAAAACCATTGTGCCAATAATACTTACGAGTTCTCGGTACGATGGTATGCTAGCGCCACCTACTACAGGTAATGAGATAATAACCAACATTAACGAATGAATGATGAGTGCAACAATTAGATTTCTGTGTACTCGAAGTCTGGAACACTGAAGAGATCTGGTAAGGAAACAGAATTCGAAGCAATTAAAATTTTGAAACTAACTATAATAAGTGTTATTAAATTCAAAAATGAATTAAATTGGTTAGATAGTTCAAAGTAATAACTTATCAAATAAATTAGCCTCAATTATCAATTAAAATGAATTTCCGTTGCATAGAATGAATATAAGGAAATAGTATATCAAGTGGTTTTCTTTTACATTTACTTTGTGCATCGAAATTAACACTTTTTAAAGTGTAAGTTTTAGCAAAATTCTCTAAGTTTATTTCCTAAGAACTTATTTGTGAAACAATTAATCAAAAAATACATAAACGCAATTTTATTTGATATTTAAAATTCTATATAAAATAAAATTTTTCTTGTTGAGTTGTGTCTTCCTTTTGTTCATTTAGTAATTAATAATTCAAAAAATAATAAAAAAAATTCATTTAAAGTTTTTAAAAAAAATAGTTTGTAACAGTAATTTTTATCTTTTGTTATTTATGAAACTGAATTTTAAACTTATGAAAAAATTCGGAAAAAGTCCTACATAATATAATGAAATTTTAAAAATCAACACTGTTTTTTTCAGTGCCAATAAAAAATAACCATTTAAAGAAAAAAAATCATATTTTAATTGCATATAACTTTATAACTAGAAAAAAAAATTGAGACGCTGTTATTTTATCGCAATGCTAATTAATTCATTACAAATGATTGCACTTCACGTGTAAGATTAAGACATAAAATGATAGGTAAATTATACAGACAAGATTTTTATAATGGTTAAGTATTTGGGAAGAACTCCTCTCACCGTTCATCTAGAGCAGTGGCGGTGACTACGGTTGAGAAGCTATTTCAATTAGGGGTGTTAGGTGAATATTTAAGGCAGGTTTTGACTCAGATTGGCGAGAAAAAGAGAATTAGGCGAGAGAGAATCTCTCCTCTTTGAAATACACTATTTCTTATTTCAGCAGATGGCTTTAGACTTCGTGGAGAGGGGAGTTCTTTCTATAGACAACCTATACATTTAATTACTAAGAGACACGCTATTTTGTTTTAAAGCAATGCAAACACTTACTTGAAATAAAAAAATATGAATATTGTAAGCGCCAAGAAAAATAGCGATACAAGAGAACACACTAACAAAATGAGACTGACTGTCAGAGGTGCTTTTGGCAAGTCCTGAAAACAAAAAGGAAATGATTAGAAACCGTATCTAAAGGAAACACAATTATATATAAGAAAAGTCCTGACTTAAACCAACGATATGCAAGCAAATTTGATTGTGCCATTTGGAAAGCCTGGGTGCGAGTTTTAGATAGTTCTTTGCTTCATTGAAATAAATGTTTGAATTTACTTTCTCTGAGTTCGCTGTAAATTTTTTTTTGTCCAGTTTTTTTCAGAAAAGTATTTTAGAGGTAAATGAAGTGATAGAAATAATATTTTTACAAGAAATGTAATTCTCATTTTTGTCCTTTTTTTTTACCGATCACACTTTGTCCTCATAACTTGCTTACTATTTTGAATGATATGCATACTTTTAAAAACAACAACTTTTTAAATGTATAGGGTGTTTCATAATGACTATCCTTACTTTATATTTTAAGAATCATTGTCAGAAATAAAGCGTTCAATCCAAATTTCAGGGCTCGTAATTTAATATCTAATCGGGGGAAATCAATTCTAACCATGAAACTTAATGAACTACTGCAGAAGGCGAGACTAAAAACATCAAAACTCATTAAATTACCTTGCTAAACTTGAAAAGGTTTTTTATGATCACCGTTTATCTTTTTTTCTTTGTTTTAGGGTATACGAGTAGGTTTTGATGTTTTCAATTTTGCTTTCTTCAGTAGTGATTCTTTATTTTTTGATAGAGTTTTCTTTCCTAGCTCAAATACTAGTTTGCAAAAGATCAGAAGTAAATTTTTTTGCCTTCATTTCTACGATGATTCTATAAAAAATATTGAGGGTGGTCATAGCGGAGCATTTTGTATAAGTTGTAATTCAAATACATGAAAAATACATTGAAATTTTTGTACTGACGTGAGATTAATTAAGAAAGATCTTCACAATCTTTAAATGAAACTTTCACAAAATACTCAATTTTCATTCGATTTGACCAAAAATTCCAACACGTGATGAACAAAAAAAAATTCTGAACAATAGGATTTCCATGGATTAATTAGTTCAAAGAGTTGACTTTCAAATATGCTAATTAATTGAAGTTAATTAATAATAAATTACGTAATTATACTTTTCCGAAAAATACACATTTTTCTGTTGGTGTTTTGACCATCACACTATTTTAGTATCCAATGGAAAATAAATTTCGAACTGTTTAATCAGGATGATAGTCATGAGTGTTTACGCAATAATACACTACTGGCCATTAAAATTGCTACACTAAGAAGGCGACTCACCACGAACATGAAATTTCCAAGACGGATAAAGCATGTTGCGATAGATAAATGATTAGCTTATTATAAATTATTAGCTTATTATTATGGCGGTAGCGACACCTGCAATGTGAATCAAAGCTTAAACCCATCCCGCTCCGGTCAGGGGGTCTCCGGAGAATACTATAGACTCTAAGTGCGCGCACATGACCTCTCAGCAAAAGAAAAAGAGGATTCAAAAGGGTAGGCTTGGCAACACGTCGGAAAAATGGACATGGCAGGAAGAAGCAACTCCAGGGAAAACCCTGGTTGATGAAGTTTAGGCGCCTCTCGCACAGAGCAGCGACCTCACCAAGATCCAAAGATTCCCTGCCCCCAGCCAGAAGGCCTCAAAGAATTTAGTGAAATCTTAAAAATGTGCATAAAAGTAGAGATTTGACAGTAAGTTTCGCATACATAAATTGAATTTGAGCTTTGCTCTTGGGTAAAAAAGCTTTTGTTATGCCTCGTTTAAGAAGGAGAAATGCCCACCAGCACGTGTCTGAGTTTGATGGGGGTCGAATAGTGGCTTACCGAGATTGTGGTTTATCATACCGAAATATTTTTGCTCGTGTTGGTCGAGATACCACGACTGTTTGCAGAATATGGAATTGATGAATTCATGACAGTCATATGGAACGTCGTGCAGGATCTCAGCTGCCCCCCATCACTAGCAGCCGAGAAGACAGACATGTTGTCCCATGGCTTTAAGGGATCCTGCAGCTACGTTACGAAACCTAAGTCAACAAATGGGGTGATTTGCAAGACAACAAGCGTCTGCATGAACAGTTCGACGACGTTTTCAGCAGCATGGAATGTCAGCACGGTGACCATGGCTTCGGCTACCCATGACGTTGCATCATACGCAGGAGCGCCTCCAATGGTGTGATCAACGACGAACCTGGACGCAGAAATGGCATAAGGTCGTCTGTTCAGACGAATCCAGGTTCTGTATACAGCATCATGATGGCCTCATTCGTGTTTGGCTACATCGTGGAGAACGCCCATTGGCAGCTTGCATTCGAAATCGTCATACTGGCCCGTCACCTGGAGTAATGGTACACGTCTCAATCACCTCTTGTTCACATTGCCGGAACGTTGAACAGCAGCCGTTATATTTCTGATGTAACGGCTGCTGTATGGGTGCTAGGACCAGTTGCTCTGCCTTATCTTCGAGGCCTTCGTAACGCTACGTTTCGGCAGGACAATGCACGACAGCATGTTTCCTGACCTTCCTTTACACATAACATGTTCGCCTGTTGCCCTGACCAACACGTTCTCCTGATCTCTCACGAATTGAAAACATCTGATCAATGATTGCCGAATGACTGGCACGCCACCACTCCTCAGTCCCTATGGTTGATGAATTGTGGCACAATGCTGAAGCAGTATGGAATGCTGTATCCGTCCATGCTATCCAATCACTGTACGACTCGATGCCCAGGAGAATAACTGATGTTATTGCTGCTAGGGGAGGCTGTTCTGAGTACTGATTTCTCAGGATCTATTCTTCCAAATATTCTGAAAATTTAATCACTTGTTCTTCCAACTATAATGCATGTGCCCGATAAATATCACTCTGTTATTTGTATTCCTTCCTGGTGTAGCAATTTTAATGGCCAATAGTGTATTAACTTTCCCTCCTAGAGATGTTGACAAATCTAAGTAACTTTCAATGCTAATAAAGTAACATAATCGATGGTTCAAAAACCTTCACATCTAATTATAAAATTCGTTTACATAAACATTATTCGATGCTCGAAATAATTTTAACAGATATTTTTAATTATTAAATTTAATAATATTAAAAAAATTTGATTTTCAAGGTATGCGAACATTTGCACAATTTTAAACGATGACATTTTGAATAAATACAAAGTTTCAATGCAATCGATAAGAGTGCTCTTGAAAAATAAAAATGTAATAATATATTTTTTGAAATTTTTTAAAAAAAAAATTAGAATGTAATTTGCTCACATTTTGTATCCGTAAACTAAAATTTCTAAATTTAAAATCCTTTTAAAAATTTGTATTTCATAAATTTAAAACTTTTTCACACAATAAGTAAAATAGTAAATAATTATTAAAAACTATTTTTGCATAAAATTACATAAATTTCATAATTGCAGCCAAATAGTTTTCTTGATATCTTGTTAAGTATCTTTGAACTTTTTGGGGGAATTTACTCATATATATATGTATATTTTTGAATATGGTTAACCCGATGCTTAGATGTATTCAAGTATATAAATATTGCAAAAATTTCAACCTGACTAAATTATTGGGACAGTTTTTACCACACTGCAAAAACTGTGGCGTAGTACCCATCCAAATTTGCTGTTGAAAATGTCGAAAAAACGTGTGTTATTTCAAGCTTAGTTTGATTTGAGTGTTTACACACATTTTAAAGGGTGTAGTTGAATTTAAACTCCAATAAATAAAGAAAGCTTATACCGAGATCACATGCATTGATTTTTTTTTCAAAAACACCACTGTTGGCGCATTTTAAATTTTGCCAGAGTTTATTTACTTCGAATAACAGTAGCAAAGGACAGTTGCCTTCTTCCACGCCACTGTACAATATATACTGAAAAACAATATATACTGACTGTACACTGTACAATATATACTGACTTACACTATATTACATCTTAAACGTAACTTCTTCTCCATATGTATATCACATCTTACTGTAATTATAAATTTTAGTGTTTCTAAATAACAAACATAAAGGTGGCTACTTTATATATAGTGCTTATAAGTTGCGTAAAAGAACAATTTAGGTGTCTCACCATACCAGAAACTATCATTTTCTCTTGGCGTCGAGGAGCACCACCTTGGTGTAAAGTAGTTACCCCCATATTTGGTGCTCAGATACGCGAAATTTTTTTTATAGTGTAGTATGTGTCAGCTCTCCCTCCCCCTAAAATATACACCGAAGAGCCATTACATTATGACCACCTCCTATAACAATGGGCTCGCCCAGGTTTTCATGGCTTCTCGCCCAGGAACAATGTTTTCATGGGGCACATTAGGACCCATTGAATCCTCATAGAGCAATCCCTGACATCTGTAAGCTACTTGAACATGGTTGCAGACCAGGTTCACCCATTCATGGCAACAGTTTTTCCTGCGGGGGATTGTGTTTACCAACAGGATAATGCACCATGACATAAGGGTCGAATCGTCATGGATTGGTTCGAGGATCATTCCAGTGACTTTCAAGTCATGTCTTGGCCCCCAAATTCACCTGAGCTTAATCCAGTAGAGCATTTGTGGTCCTACTTGGAAAATCAAATTCGTGCTGCTATGCTACCCCCTCGCAATGTGAGATAATTGAAGGACCAGTTGGTGAGCGCTTGGTACCAGATACCTAAGACTACCTATCAGCACCTTGTGGAATGAATGCCACGGCTAGTGCTAGCAGTTTTGAGGCTAAAGGTGGACCTAAATGTTATTAGCAGGGTGGTCGTAATGTAATGGCTCTTCAGTGTATAAGGATAACATAAATTCAAATCTATCTAAAAAAGTACGTTTTTATTCATATTTTGTAACTTAATAATTAGTTAGCAATAGTTAATTTGCATAGTTGAATCAATTCTTTCGATTCATGAAGTTTGTGTTCTATTAAGAGCCAATTTGGTTCTTAAAACTGCTCAGGGACATCATTTTTATTTTTCATTTTATGTTAAAATGCAGTTTATATTTAAAAAAAAAAATCTGCTGTGATATCCTAGTAAAGATTTTTTTAAAAATCTATTAATAGTTGATTCTAAATATTTCGCATCATCTTTGAAATCTTAATAAGGAAAATTTGCTGAATTAAATTTAACGTTCAATCAACTGGTATAATAAGGACAGCAAAAGATGAAAATATCTTTTATCTTTTTATTTATGTTTAAAAATTATGTTATTATGTGCATAAACAAGCTGAACTTTTTTTGACTGTTAAAAACGCGTGACATCGAATCTTTATGAATAATTTTTCAACTATGCTTGATTTTAATAATATATTGAAAATATTGCTTAGAAATATCCTTTCATCCATGAACATGTTTACTTTCTATTGGATATCAAATATCACATTTTGATTTTCAAATCAAAAGAAGAAAAAAAATTGAAACTTTTGAAAATATGTTTTTATAAAAAACATGGAAATTTTGAACAAAACTCTCTCAACTTGTTGTTTGTTTTTCTGAGCCTGTTTGAAACAACTTAGTCTTCTGCCTTTGTTGTTGTTTACCGTTCTTGCAAAAGCATATTTTTAGTTAAGAAGTTAAAGGAGAACTTTTGTTCAACTTAGAAAATAGTAGAGAAGATTATCTAGCAGAACATGAATATCCGTAATTACTTGTTTATTGATCTGTACATCTGAATCAAGATATTTCATCAACCGTATTCATTAAATAACAAGTTTTAAACATCAATTGCAACTCATTGACCAGAAATTAAAATTATATATTTTCAGATTAAATGGTATTTTGATTAAACTTCCTGCTGGGGTAAGTCGTTATTTTGTTCTTTGAGTAGAAAAAAAATATTGATGAACTATATTTCTCTGATGTAAGACAATAAATGGAAAAAGACTTTTTATGTGGTGCGTAAATACAGTAAAAATATCTTTCGATTTTATGTTCGGAATCTACCAATTATGTTGTAATTTGAATGGACTAAATAGTATTAGACGCAGCATGAGGGGGGACACTCTTTTTGATATTAAAAAACTGTTATCTTATTTTAAGTTTTACATACAAATAAAAAATAAATGTGCATATATATAGAAACTTAAAAAAACGAACAGTTTCCTAAGAACAAAAAGTGTACCCCCCTTACACTACATCTGCGGTTATACCATTCGAAAAAGACGTGTATTCTTTTATATAAGTTCTGAAAGAACAATTTTCTACACATGATGTCCTTTTCTTATATTTTTTCTTTTGTATGCAGCTTGTTCTGTAAAGACCACCGTTAAAAATATCCTTATCAAGCGTCTTTGGAATATCCTTATAAATATTTTTGAAAGTACTTTTTGGGATTCCATATTAAATTTTAAGCGAGGAAAAAAATGAACGCTATCACAGTTGAGAAAAGTTACTGTACGAAACATTCAAAACATGTTTAATTGAAGGACAGAGAAACTAAAAGAAAATTTTAGGAAAACCTACAAGCTTAAAACTGCAACCAATCAGGTTTTTAATCTGTAGATCAGCATTCCTTAATTATGATTTATTAGTGTTTTTGTTTTTCCCTCGCTTAAATAATAATTTTTGATATACAATGCATCTATTTTTTTGCCTTTACTTTTGATAAAGATTCTAGCAAACATTATATTGAGGTCAGGCTTTACGAAGGCCCCTGTATACTACATAGTTTAGTTTACTTGGAAATAAGGTTTTTCTCACACAATAAAATGAGATTATATTTTTAAAGGATAAACAATCTAAATTCATTTTCACATACATCTCCTATAGTCAAATGCAGAATCACAACAACACTAACTGTCACACAGAGCATTTTTGTATTGTATTACTTACGTTCGTCATCAGCTGTAAAGTGAGGTTTCTTTCTTCTCATGAAATAACATTCTTAAGCAAAACATTCTAATAATTTTTATCCATATGGGAAAATGTCGCCAATTTGGAAATATTTAAAATTTTTTATATACTTGATATTTTCATCTGTTCTAAATCCTAAAACTTTTTTTTCTGAAAGACAGTACAATTTGTAAAAAATTATAGCTTTGTGTCGAGTTTAGTTCTATTAAACTCGACATAAGGTGCTTAAACTGGGAATTTTTATTTAGCGTGGCGACAGATTTTCGAAAAATTTTCTGAATAAGATAGAACAAAATAAAAATGAAACTAAATGAAATTTCAGGAAATAGTATTAAAAAATCACCTAATGCAAACCTGGTTGATTTTTTTCCTGGGTAAATATATTTTATCAATCAATTTCTCATTCGCATCTCCGAATTCACATACGAGAATTTTTTGCACACGGTGTGAATGATTCTGCTATGCTATCTTTTTTGCGGAATTCGGTTTCAGAACGCAGCTTTCCAGTTTGGCGATATTAGGAAAAATAGTTAAGAAAGGAGGAATTTTTTCTCATATACCTTTGTTAAATTATTGTAACCAGAAGTAATTCAAATTTAAAAAAAATTTATAATGTTTTATTATTTCCATTTATTATTAAATTTGACTACAAACGATAAAATCAAAGAGTAAACTACAAAGTTTTCTACAATGTTAGTCAATTAAAACTTTTGTTTCTCTAGAAGATTTATCTTAGCCTTTAGTGTAGTTTCTAAGAAATTTTTTTTTTATAATGTCAGCATTATTTTTATTTAAGCACAAACACTGATGGCACTTACCGTTGTAGTGAAATTGAGACATTCGTTGTAATTAGTCCAATTTCCCCAAAGCCAGTTTCCATTTTTATCACAAATTCGATAAGCTTTGGCTTCTATAAGTAAAACATTCAAATTTAAGAGAAATAATAATATAATAATATTTGTTGGTTTGAATAAATTTTCAAAAATCTGAAATAAATTTTCGCATTTTTTTACTAAAAACACTGCTCAAAACAATTAAAGGATACTGAGGTTGTGGGTTGATCTTGTACCTGGAGAATTGTTTGAATGATTGATACATTATCGACAGACATAGTACGCGATATGAGATAAAAATGACATTTGTTTCGCAGAAGAAAAAAAAACGTTTTATTGAGCATTTGAGTACAAAAGCAAAAGAACACAGCTAAAAAAAATAATAAAAAAAAATCAAAGTAAAAATAGTATTTTTAAAAACCACGTTTTTGTACTGGAGAATAATAATTAAAAAACAAAAATTTGAAAAACGAAACACCTGGGGCGCATGAAATACATAACAGTAACAGTATGTGTGTTCATGAGAATATGTGTATGTATATCTGTAATTGTATCTGACTGTGGATGTGTAAGTGGTTGTGCATGTGTATGAGTAAGAAAATGTGTATATGCATGTGTATATATACTGTTATGTATTTGCACCCCACGCTTTTCGTTTTTCAAATTTTTGTTTTTTAATTATTATTCTCCACTACAAAAACGTGGTTTTAAAAAAAAAAATTTTTTTTTTGTACTCACTTCCAAAATCTCAATTTTTTCACTCACTGTACACAAAACTTTTCAACTGACATGTGTCACTAATTTGAAATAATCGAATCGACAACAATAGACAATATCAAAAATATTAATTTTTCTTTCATTGTAATTTTATTTTACTTTGCATGTCTTTCTTCTCTTCATTTTCATGCATTGTCATCCAATTCTGAACTATGTGCCAAATTTGAAGTCTGTAGCTAGTCGGGAAGTTAGTTTAAAATCTATTAAAAAAATCCACCCGAACAGACATACACGAAGGCAAGTTGATATAAACGTGGTAAAAAAAGGCGTTTCCTTGAACGAAAATCATTTTTAGTAGGGGCTTATGGTTTCCCCGGACGGACAGCAACTTTTAACACTTTTGAGGCATCGAGTCAATGAGGTTATTAATGAGGGGCTGGAGTATTCGGTTCTATTCCTTCAGACAGCTCTCTTCAGTTCCTGGAGAGTTAGTCGGGGTGGTAGGCGTCCAGCAATTCGTCGAAATAGAATGCCCAAACATGTTTGATTGGGTTCATGTCCAGAGAACACGTTGGCCAAACCATTCGTATGATTCCTTCCACAAAAAGGAAATCATTTACCAAGTTAGCACTATTTGGCCTGCAGTTGTCGTCCAGAAATAGCAACAATAGGTCTCAGGATCTCATCCCTATATAGGCGACCGGTCAGATCACTATTCTGAATGATTGATAAGCTCATCAGTGGAGATGACAGCATAAAACATCCGTCTCCACCGCCATATCTTACACTTTCGTTCACGATCACAGGATTGTTTCTAGTGACACGTTCCCTCCTGATGAAAATACGCCTTTTATCAAAGTAACTCGTCAGAGAAAAGAATATTGCTTAATCCATTTCTCCTCCAGTTCTATTGGGCTATTGCCCACACCCTGAGGCGCGACGGTGCTTTGCTGTTAATGTGACAAACACATTTGGTCGCCGAGCATACAGACCTACAGCGTAAATGCGGTCTCGGCCAGTTTGTGTCGAAACTGTGGTGCCAGTAGCCAAACGAAGGTGTTGTTGAAGAAGAGTGGCATTCATATTTCTGCGTCTCCGAGCTATGGCGTTAAATAATGGTCTTAATTGGGCGTTGTTGTACGTAGATACTCTTGCCCTGATCTTTGGCCTTCATTTCCAGTCGCCAAAAAATGTTCCAGATCATAAAAATCACACTTCGTGAAACTCCAATGGCTTCTGCTACTTCGGCTTGTGCTTGGCCACCCTCTAATCGGCTAACGATTCTCCAAACTTCTGATTCAGTTAAATGACTTCGTTGAGACATGGCACTAATCGAAACAAAGCACATACTGAATGTCGATCATTCTTTTCCGCTTTGTCTTACATTAAGTTGAAAGCCAAATCAAATTCGCTGCTGCTATAAGGCGTCGTCTACGACGTCAAACTCAAAATTTCCATACTGCGAAGTTTGAAAATAAATTTTTTTTTGAAGAAACTATCTTTGTCCATTCTATTCTAAAAAAAAGAAGAAAAAAAAAGAAGGAAAAAAAAACAAGAAATTGCTCATTCCGTTATTTAAACAGGATTCACAATATTCTTTAATCGTTTTGAGCTGTGTATCTTTCAAGTAAAACAGTTATTTATAGTATTGTAAAAAAATTGAACTCAGAACTTACAAATTTTTCTTCCTTATTTACGAAGCCGTTTTCTGATAAATTCTCTGAGTGAACATTTTCATCAAATTGTGATATATGAGTTTCGTCACAAGCATTTTACTTAACGCAACATATTGATTCACTCAATTAATTTGGAAATATAGTATAAAATGCGAGCGAATAATTGAGTACTCAGACGCTATAAGAAAAAAAAATTGGAAGCCTATTTAGCAAACGAGCCCAATAATCGCTCTACAATTCTGTCACACAATCTGATAGTCTTATAAAATCTGATAACAAGTCTTGGAAAATAGTTTAACAAAAAAGTATTTAAATATGGTGTAATACATACTTAATATTTTTATTTTGTACAAGCACTTTCATTGATGAACATGCATTTTTATTATGTATTTCTACTATTGTATAATATTTTGAAATATATTTCTTCAATTTGTGAGATATAGTTTTCAACTATAAATTGACTCAGTTACATAGTTTGTACTGCAGTCATTCTTTAAGCTTATGTAGTTATTTACAGGTTTAAATGTTCTTTGACTGCTTCTTTTTTAAATTTTCATGATGTTTAAGAAATAATACCATTTATATAGTAAATAAGCATGTAATTTTCACAGTATTGTTTTCCAATCGAAAAGTTGGAGTTTTTTCAAATATGCCATTATTCAAATTCAATAAAAGTAATTTTACCTAACATTTTAATGATAAATAGAACTAAGTATATAACTGTAAAAATTTTGAATTTCTTATATACAATTAATGATTGTATGAAATATCAAGAGAAACGCGATGTGTATCAAATATATTTTTGAAATGTCAAAGAAAGGGATTTTAAATCCATCGGATTTACAAAAATATTTAATTAAATTTTTATTACTTTAATTGCCCTACAAAACGAAAAATAAAAGTATTTAGTTTTCATTCAAATATAGCTTTTTCTTACAAGAATTAAATTTGATTTCTTTCAATAAATTAGAATGCTTCCAATATTTTCTTAAATTTTTTTAAACTGTAAAATAAGGTGGATATGATAATGACGTATCTCATATTCAATCCAAAGAAGTTTATTATTTCTATTATTAATGTGATCTTACAAGATTTCTAAGCATTACAGTGCTATCTGAAGAAAATATTTCTCTGTTTGTATTAATGTGATCTTACGAGATCTAATAAGGTCTGTGTGTAAAAGGTTTCAAATGGGAAGAAAAAATTCTAAAATGTTTTTAAGTGAAGACTTCAAGAAAAAAAGGAAAGAGTTAGGATTAAAATTTCTTAAAAAATATATCCTGAAACTTTTTGAGAAATTCTCACATAACACGATTTATAATTACACAGTTTCAGTAGATTTTATCATTTTCTTCTTCTTAGAACCAGGAGTAAATGTATTTTTGATCAAGATTTTTATTTTCTCTGTCACGGATCAATAATAATAATTATTCTGAATGCCATTGTCATGAATCGACACTAACTCTTAAAAAAACCATTTGTTATTTTCAACAATACCGATTTGATTAGACACGAGAGTGCAATAATTAAAAAAAAAGATGTGTAAACAATGCGCCTATTGATAGAAAAGTAATTTAAACAATGACTTTCATTTTGATAAGAAACGAAGCAAGAAAATGACAAATGAAATCATGTTTTTATTTAATATTTTTTAATCATAAAATAGTTTTTCTGTTTTTCCATGAGCATTAATAATCCATTATCTCAATTATATGTGGATACCTATGCAACACTTTGTCATCAAAAATACATTAACCTTCTTGCTGATAAGATGAAATTACATCCATTCTAAGCGTAATTAATTAAAAAGCAATTTTTTATACAGCAAATAAGAGCTCGTACATTTGGGTTTAAGCGCTTGGGGTATCGACACTATAAATGGAAAGATAAGCTTTACTATTTATCTTTTTTTTAAATGCTTCCATTCTCTATAGAATAATAATATATGCCACCACTGTTTATTTTTTTAAAATTTCCTACATTTTTTGGTATAAACATATTCGACTGTGTGCTTTAATAAAACTAAACAAAAATTATTTTGAGAAATAGAGCACTTTGGTTATATCTACGAATATTGACTCCAAAAGATCGATATCTGTTCAACAAAATTAGTTATTAACTAAGATTACTTAAATTAACTAAGAACTACTTATCTATGTTTGTGTGCGTCAGACTATTCAAACTCTTAAGCATTTACAAAAAAAGAAGATTTTGATTTTATTCGTTTATTTTGTACCAGCTAAGGCATCTACTAGTAGTTTTTTTTGTAACCTAACGTAACCTGTAACTTCTCAAGTTAGTATGGAAGTATTTTAAAACTAAACTTCTTTTTAAAGCATTTTAGCTTCCTGAGTTGAATATGAAGTAGCTTTCAAGTTATTAGGAATTTAAAATAACTCTGAAATCAAAAGTAAACTCTGATAGCAGATACCCCTAGAGTTTAAAACTCAAATGTATGAGCTCTTATTTATATTTACCTGCACAGACTAAGTAGACTTTCGTTTGAAACATTCATAGCAAGAAAAAATGATTAATATGCAATCTTATTTTCTAGAAAAAAACAATATGTACTTGAATAGTCTTATCTGCACATTAATAGTCATTATGCACATCAATAGTCTTATCCAACTAAAGAAACAATAGGCCATTACTTCCAGCATTTAATTATAATGTTCGAATTTTTATACTAAAATTATGGTAAAATAACCAGTATCAGTTTGTCCACACAATTAATCTTAAAGTTAATTGTAAAACACAATTTTTACCTTCACGTCTTTGAAACCGTTTACAACTGATATAGTTAATAAACCATAAATACAAAACTAGGCCGTTTTTTAACCATTACAAGTAGCATGGTTTTAAAACCGTAAAAAAAAAATTTAACTGGACATAGGAGATAGTTTGGTAGTTTTATGGTGCTACCATCTATGTGTTAAGTATCGTCTTCTAATAGCACAGGGTCACAAATTGGCGAGTACAGGAAGCTGGAAACTCTTCATGCGTTGAAGAGAGTATCTCCGACTCATGATATTAATATAATTGCGTCAACGGAAATATTGTGGAGTCAACACTGGGAATTGCGCCCTTTTTTGCCGGTCATGAGATTGACAGATTAGTTCTTTCGTCTGTAATATGTACCCATCTGCAAGGAACTACGTGGTTTCAATAGATGATCGTCGTTGGTGAGATCAAATTTTGGTTGTTTAACCGTATTAGGTGAAAGCAGTTAATAAACGGTTTTTCTCACAGTTAACAGTTTAAATACAATCTTATTTATGGTCATTTGACTGTTTTGTTTGAATATGGTAAAATAACAATTAAATTAATTGTTATTTAACCATTTGTTTCGAGAAATTTCAAACAATATAGAAGGAGGGAAAAAATTCACCTATTAAATATTTTTTATAGTATAAGTCAATAACTTCTATAACTAAGGGCTACATTGAAAAGTTTTGTTATAAAATTAATATGAAAAAATATTCTTGAAATACAAATTCTTTTTAGCAGTTTATATTGTATGGTATTTCAGTTAAATCATTGGAACAAGAGAAAATAAAATTTGCATTTCTTATATGATCAAGTTTACATTTTCAGACAAGTCAAAATCAAGTTAAGTACCACGGATATGTTTGCGGAAATGCTTCTACAAATTAACTCATTAATAGTTGCTTATTTAAAAATGTTATAATTTCAAACGTTTATTATTACATAAATAAAAATAGCAAATTATTATTGAATGAGATATTGCATAAGCTATCAGCCTAAAAATATTATTTTTTAAACGAATAACTGTTAAAATATAAAAGTAAATATGCTTATTTTAAGTTTAAAAAATGAGCTCGGAAGTCTTAAATATATTTTTTAAGACATAAAGCAATAAAGCCAATTTACAACATTAGTTTTGAAAATATGTTATGAATTGTTGGTAATTACCTGGTGGAATAACTAAGTTTTTTACATCTGCGACTGCATCTCCGTACTTAAGTACTTGCAGGCAGGATTTCCACGCCGTTTGACCTGCTGGGATGGAAGGCCAGCACAAAACTGAGTCCCATACTGGCTCACAATAAACATCTCCTGAAATAAAATAAAAATAGTTAATTGAAATGTTAAGAAGAAAACAAATTGCTAAGAATAAGTTTTTCCAATTAACGCGGGAAGGTGAATTTCTTCGAGCAAAAGTATCGGAAAATGAGAAAAAATTATTGCAATTTAAATTATGAATCCTATTTCTCGATTAAGATACTTTAGTTCTAATTTTGAAACAAAATATGGAATAATTTGATAGTTTTTTTTTTTTTATCTTTCAGCAAAAGCATATTTCTTGTTTATAATTGTATCTTTTAATTCAGAAAAAACGTTATAACCTACTTCAATGAAAAAAAGAAAAAATACGTCAAAAAAATAAAATAATTATTATTGAAATAATGTTTCAAATATTTTTGACAGATTTTAAAAGTAAATACTGAGAATTCACTTTTCTAAATATTAAAATGAAAAACGAAAAAAAAACAACAAATACTTTTCTTACGTATTTTAATTTAATCAGTTTATTCATGTTTTTCAAATCGTTGCTGGTTTTTCCGGTACATATTTTATATGCTTCCTGTAGATAAATAAACTTCCACTTTAGCATTTTCTACAGTTATTTCACAAATTATTTTAGTATATTAGTTAAAAAATATTTATATATATCAATAATCTTTTTTTAACACAATATTTCTTATTTAAAGGACTCGGGGCAATAAAGGGGTCAGTCACATTTTGTCGAAATGAAATGTATGTATGTCAAACTGTTCTTCAATACTGTTTCTAGATAGGTACTTAACAAATTTCTAGGATTTTCTCTTTTAAAGCCCGCAATACCCAGAAATACCCTGTTGCCTACTTGAAAATTGTGTTATTTTTCTCTCGAACAATTCAAAAAGCGATTAGTCATTAGATTGAGCCAATACTTTTATTTGTACTTATATAAGTCTTCTGTATACCAGTCTAAAGAATTAGGAATTGTTTTTTTTAAGTTAAAATAATTTAATTTTTTGCACCCTTATATAAATAATAACTAAGGTAAATACAAAAATTTTTTTGAAGAGAATTTATTAAGGGAGTCGGGATTAGTCAGGAAGCTTGCCTTGATATCAAAATTACAGGGGAAAACTTAATGTGGTATTTTCCACTATCAAACTGAAATAATCATAATATTTATGGTTACACATTAAACAATAAATATATGAACAAAACAAGGAATTTACAAACTATTTTAGTCTTTCTCTGCTTTTTGAATTCTGTACTTTATTTAAATGAATTTGCGTATTGATATTCCTTTTCGCTTACGGGTTTTTGAGGCTTTTAGAAGCATCATAAAACTCATGAGCGTATTTAATAAATTATTTGGATGCCAATGAGTTATTAAATACCCTAATGGACACAATATTATGCTTATTTAATTAGATCACGGAACACATGTAGTCTTAAATAGAATGAAAAAGAAAGTTTTTTTTTATTTTAATGATAAAGCCCGAACGAATAAATAAAAGTATTGCCAAAATAAACAGAATAAATAATAGTATACTACAGGAAATATTATTTTTAAATAAATAGGTTTTAAATAAACAGGAAATATTGTTATTTGATGAATATTTTTTTTATTTGTGAGAAGCACTTTTTAATAAATATTTTTGTGATAAGATTTTGAAGGTAAAATCAAAAATTCATTAACTTTATCCTTTTATTTCCTTTGATGATCAAGAGAGGAGAACGATTTACATCCATTTTTCAAAAAATGCTGATTTAATCACCATTTGTTTCATTTTCAGAAATCAACAACGTGGAAAATCGTTACAAATACTCAAACCTTGAAATCCGTTTATTCTCAGAATTAGCTTTCATGAACATAAACCATCTTCTTCCTTGATCTTCTGTTCTATTACCCTCAAGAAAAAAAATTCAAACTTTCTTGAAAGGTCCATTAGAAGCAAAACATATTGTCTGTAAGATATAATGAAGAGGGAAGACTTAGTTTCAGTAATTTTAGAAAACGATGGATCCTTTTACTGTAAAAATGGATACTCAAATTTCACGAAACTTTTCTCGTGTTCTGGTATGTGCCCCGAGTGAACATTTCGTCAAAATGACGAAATAACTATCATCATTTCTTCAGGAAAACGAATTTCGTCAAAAGTAAAGAAATATTCCGTCATTTTATTTTCATATAAATAAAAACCTTGCAGTGCCTAATGTATCTAGCTTTTCTAATAATCACTTTATCATCGGCACCATGTAGGTGGATCAATGTAACACTAGAAGAACAGAGGGTAAATAGAAATAAATTACACCTATGTCCGAAGCGGGCATCGAATCCTTGATCTTCCTGGTAACTCCTAACTCCTTGACCACTATACAGTTCGGGATACCTGTTTCGTCACTTTGTTTTCGATTGTTTAGTTTTCATTTTAGTTTTGTCACTAGAATTAACAATCCCCTACAATGCACTATGATTAGGTTTTGAGTTTGAAAAACATTTTTGTCATAAATTTGACAGTTCGTATTTCGTCACAAATCACGTGATTTGTGACGAAATGATTTTCTAAGTTAACAAAGTGCAACTCAAGGATCGTTGAATCGTCAAAAGTGAGAGTGTTTAAAAAAGAATAGGCCATGAGGGAGTCAATTTAAATTTATAAATGATGAACTATCGTCGTGATTATGGAGAAGAATCAATAATTTGAAAATGTGACAAATAAAATGAAGAATAATGGTTGAGAGCGGATCATCATTATTTTTACAAAAATAAAACATTACAATCGCTGTCTTTTGCATTTTTATGATTACTCAGTTTTGACAAATCAATAAAAGGGAAATCGGTTTTCGACGAGAGTTATTACTCAGAAAACAAGCCAAGTTGGTGTAAAATGCTTCATATCTGCTTTGAAATCCATTTTTTTGTGAGAATCAGCTTCCATGGACATTATTCCCCCTTCGAACTTGATATGTGATGTTGTTGCGTATGCCTTTTTAGGCATATGGGTGCGATTGTTCTTGTTTTCGCAGTAGTATCGTCTATGGCGAAGAATTCAACTTCAGCCACACCCATTCGTCTCAGCCGTTCATAGAGCGAACTCATTCATACATCCATTCATTCATCTACAGATCGTAATTTTGACCAGAACTATCGATCTCCAATCCAGTACCCCCACAGGTTTTGATTTGTTATGGGAACATATAGGACTTTGCGACTCGACAGATTTAACGTGCATCAGTCACTATTTACTACAAGGGGCATCTTCGGCCGGCGGGGTTCGAAACCACGAACTCTCGGACATGGGCCCTACCGACCAGGCTATCCCGGCCTTTTGATATGTGATGAAAATTAATTATAAATGAAAGATAAATAATAATTGAAATAATAAATAAATAGTGTGCAATGTATAAAAAATACGCAATAATAAAAACAAATGATAATAAACAAAAAAATGGACATTTTTATTTTGATCAGAAACGTTTCATATTTTATGTACCATTCCTAATTTAAGCCTCATCATTTTGCTTGTTTTATTTTAAAAATGGATATATATTTAAATAGTTTATAAAACTTACTGCTTTGATTAAATTGTATGAAAATTTTCTAATTATTAAGAATCAGTTTTTTAAAAGTTTTTTTTGTCAGTTTTTCATTGAAATATCTTTTCATAAATGGTTAAACAAATTATAAATAAGTTAAACCCTTAACTTTTTGCTACTTTTTAAATTGAAAAAACTTGGGATAATAATAGACATTTATTGAAATGGTTATACAAAGTATTTCAATGTTTGAAAAAAGTAGTTTTTAGAGCGAAAGAACTGCATTCTAGAAAAATTAAAGTTTTTTTTAAAAAAATAATATTGTTTTTTACGCAAACAGAGCATATTTAGCTTTTTGCAAAAGACAAATTTAACTTATTTCCTTTACATCAGATTCAGACTGAAGATTTTATGTGAATATTATGTTAAAAACTATTTTAATATTCTTCAAATAGTTAAAAGAATAAACTATGTTAATCATGAATAATAAAAATACTCTCTTTTATATAGTTTTTCTGAAAAGAAATATTCCATTTATTTTTGGAAGATAAAAGGATTTTAATATTTAATATATAAAGAACAGTTTTTAGTCAATGGAGCTTAGAACAAGTTTTATACATTAGTTTTGAGTTGAAATAAGTTTTTTCTCAACATTTTTTATTGCAGTAATAAAGCTTTATAATAAATTTTGAAAAGTCAAAAATCTAAAAATATTCTTTAAGCTTCAAAAAAGCAAAAAAAAAAAAAATCTTTTGGGTGAACTACTCAGATTTTTCAAAAGTTACTAAGTATTTAATTGGAAGTATTGAATATACGTTTCCTATTATAGTATAGCACTGAATATAAGTTCTTATCATAGGACCGATTTCTTTATTTGGCACCTGCATCTCCATTGTTTTATTGTAATTCCCAGCAGACCCTCCTAATCGCCGTTATTAAATTCTTTGAGTTAAAATCGTATTAATTTTAAATTCAGTTTAAATTTATCTTATCATACTTGAAAATCGCCAACTTGATCGTGTCTTAATTAACATTCAAACAAATTTCCTCTAAAAGAAGGCACACTGAGAAAAAAAAGTATGTTAAAACTACCAGAACATGGCTGAATTCACCGTGTTTTTGACTCTATGGGAACTCCAAAAAGCTTAAATTTCAACCGAAACAGGTAGGATATGATTAAATTAACCATAAAATATAGTGCTATAATATGGGATAAAATTCAGTAAATGTGGAAAAATTTGATAATTTAATCATCATTTCTTACAGCATGGCATGAAAAGACATTCATTCGGGTAAATTCACATTTCAGTTTTATATGTTTTACTAAATGTTTGAAATGTTTTTTTAAGGGGGGTGTACAAGTATTTGTAACCAAAACGTCGAAAGAAATAGTTACTTTTTTGTTGAATTTAAGGACGGATTGAAATTAAGAATTAAACACCTTCAAGGATTGAAATTTCCTTAAAGGGAGAGGGTGGCCCCTTTGAATACTCAATGACAGTACAGAATTGTGACGA